CGAACTGCGGGTAATTGTAAATCTACTAAATATGCGAGTATTGGTCAGTATAAATAGAAAGTCTTCAAGATGTTTGAAACATTTAGTAAACTAAACCAGAGTGGACTTACATAAGGTTCCTGTTACAGCTGCCGGAGATTACAAAAATAAAAAACAATTCCGCTGTAACGACAGCCATTCGTTTAAAGTGGTTTTCAAANACACTTCAGTCAGTGTTATACGGTCAGAGCCACAAGAAAGCCGTGTTCCGTTCTAGACGTATTCAGTCCTTTTATATATGTGCACTCAAGCACCACCGCCAAAATATAGTGGATTATATTAACGAAAAGCGTTCCCAAGTTATGGCGGTTGTCTGAAGATGTTATGGTGAAATGCAACAGTGCGTCATGGTTTGTGTACAGCAGAAAGCTCTGGTGTGAGTTCTCCAAGTTGTTATGAACACAATCAATTTTGCTAACGAAGAACTTCATAAAGCACTTTTTTACCCCGCTGAACCCATTCGGTTAAGCACGGTTGTCGGCGTAGTTGCGCATGTTAGGAGATCCAACTCCCTTTCTGACACGAAGGCCACATCTTCCTTCCCCTCCGAGAAAGAGAGTTCAAACTCCAGAAGAGAGGTGACATGTTGGATTATCCGCTGCAGCTATGGTGATCGATGGCTTATGTATTGGTACCACTGTAGCAACATCGAGCGATGCCACTCGATACCATGCAGAAAATTGTCTAGTTATCGTCTTGTGTCTGCGTATGTCTGCGTTCCCTTCAGACGTAAAGGGTCCAAGCCTAAGGGGAATAGACGGGACAGAAAGCTAAAACCTAAAACCTACTAGGAACGTGTATAGTGATACCGATCACTGTCGATTTGTACATCTCCTACAATTAGACGGATGTGATTGGTGACTACCAATCTCATTTGCAACCAGTACTCTGTTTGTGGTCGAGAGGACATCAGATGACACGGGAAAATTCTGGCCTCATCACAAAAAAAAAAACCAGACTTAGGTCATCCGATCTGATACATCCTTTATATAGTTTACTCCCAATTTTTTTTAGCTACGTTATTTAAATTTCATATTCTAGTAACAACTAAAATGACATTGTGAATGGGAACGAATAGCTATCTCGCTCCTGTTGTTCCTCGGGATCCTTCTATTGTTCCTAACAATATGGAAGTAGAGGAAGGTGATGTCGAGTGCCCATTGCCGGTGGACATGCTTACATGAAGCCTGGTCGAACGGTAGACATGCTTAAACTGCGCTCACCTTCTTTTTATTCAACGCAGATGATCGCTTCGCTTGGGTCTAGGCGTTGCTGAATAAACCTGAATGTGTTATGTTATATGCCTAGTTCTTACGATATACTGAATAAAAATTCATTGCTCCAGAGTAATTACTGGGCAATCCACTTTTCTTGAGGACTGCTCTTTTGGAAGTAAATGAATTACGAATGGTTATGTATAAACCTTGAAGTGCGTTCATTACGTGTAATGCAGCTATAGATAGATTATTGTTCACGATTTTGCTGGGTCACTGTGGAAATCCTGTTGACCGAAAGCCGTTCGTTCATGAATAACTGGCTGTATTTCCAATAAAATTGTATATACCAAAATTTACCGTCCACCTGCTTTAAAATAACAGGGCAGTATTAGTGGCAAAGCTTCCATAGTTGAAAGAGCAATTTTAATAACCTCTCAGTTTCCCAGCATCTTTTTCGAAACTCTTAGAAGCTCTCAGGGAGTGAGAGCAACAGCCTGACATGGTTGTGATTCATTGAGATGAAACCATTCATGGCGAAGAGTATCTCTTAAGACATGGACATTGGAGACGATTTTGAATGTGGGGAATTCTTGCTCCAGAAGTATTGTACAATCAGCCTTTACTCGTCACATTTTTGTCAAAAATTATCATGAACGAAACGCAAAGAAATAGGTACTCACTACAGTGTTTACGAGCTTGCAGTGGAAGTTACCCTGGTTATAGAAGGGTTTTCGATGACTCGGTTTCGGCGGAATCCGAGCTCGTGGTTGTGCTTCCCTAGCACATCCTGTGCTTTAATCCTCATGCTACTGTGACCCCTCTGGATTTCGCCTCTCCAATCGCCTTTCAGCCTTTGCTCATTTGCACTAACACGTGTGACGCGAAGAATCTATCAGTCACTAACAACGTTAAATCGTTAGTTATGACTGTTCTGAGTTGTTGCAAGTTTTGTAAGTTGTTTTCCCTTAATGTTTTCCTGTTGGCTGTTATTATTTCACCGCAGCGAGCAATGCGAAAGCCATGTGAGATGGCGGAGCCTCGTTCGAATGCCCAACAACGGGTTCGAGTCCCGTCAGATGCTAAGCGTTTTCCAACAACTTGCCACTTTTTGCGTACTGATGTAAAGTACGACACTTGACGGAGAACACATGGTCAGAACATACTTCGAAGTGTTTTTTCTAAACCACATTTTTTTTTGGAAGACCGGATGCAGTATGGAGCGGTGGTGGGCATAACATCATCCATTCCGCTAATTTTCTGTCTCAAATATAGAAAAAAGAAGTCGGAAAAAATTCGTTGAGTAGAGCTTTCATGGCTGGTGGTTCAGGATTGAGCGCGATCGCCTTTAGCTTTTCCTTGCAGGAAATCTTATGCTACTCTGCTTGCTCACAGTGGGAACAGGCTTTCAGTTTCACCGTGGCAGTTATTAAATTAATATCTATTTTTCCATAGCCAACTCAATGGCCCGTTTACTCCATAGAAACTGGCGCCTTCTGGAGGCCATAACCGTTTGTCTCAATTAGTCAACTATGAATGAAAATCATTAATCTAAATCTTTTCCTGCAGTTAAATTAATAGACCGTTTACCACAGAGACTTCATAAATATGGCTACTCCTCAGGACCATAACCGTTCATGTGAAGTTCTCGCCCTGGTAGTCTATTATCTTCTCACAACGCTTCTTCTACTCTACAGAGAAGATTTGAGTTGAGCAGATTTAGCGTTTCATTGCTCATCTTCCCTTTTCTGCGTGCCTGAATATAAGGAAGTACACAGATTTGTTGAAACGACTTTTTCACCTCTTGCGGTGGTGAGGCAGGTGAATGCTAGTGTGCGTCCCTTCTAATTGGCGGGAAAGATTGCATAGCATAGCTGTGAGCCAGGCTTCCATTCCCTCCACGGCCGACATACAACAAAATGATAAAGGCTCTGAGTATGAATCATGTCTGAAGGGAATGTCTCCGCACTCCACTTCCACCCAGAAATGTAGTGACAGATTGGATGTGTATGTGGCCTTTACAATGACTTGCGATGGCCAACCGATGTTCGAGTCTGTCCTTTCATCCCCCTACCCGACCCCGGAGAGAATGAAGGCTTGATTGGCCTAGGCGTACATGATTCGGTATTCTCACTCGTGGCTATGCCTGTGTGATAGTGCGTCGTTTACGAATATATCGCCTCCGACACGGCCGACAAGTGATATCAAATGACGAGGGGGATAGAAAGACCGCCACGATTAAAAATTTGATATGGAGCTCCGGACAGAGCTTACCCTCTCAGTCCTCTACAATTCTTCTAGTAGCTCTCGAGTGACCCAACGAACTGCCACGACGATACAGTCTGTCATAAGCTGCCGTTTTCAGCTTTCTTCAAATTTCTTGTCATTCGTTTCATGACCACCATTTTCGAAACGTTTCCTGGCCCAAAGCTGTTCAGCATGGTGTATAAATCATTATTTTACTAAAGTTGATACTGTTTTCCGAAGTCCATTCAGAAGTGTCTAAAAAAAGGTAATATTCAGGGTATATGCTTCCTCATCGGGCGTTCCTCTCGCCACTACTGTGGTTTCTTCTTCTCTTTCAGGTATGCCACCGCAATGAAGTATTAGAGCACAGTGTAAAAATAAAAAATATTTGAGAAAAGAATGTTTTAAGCTCCGAGTAAAGTCAGAAAGAGCACGTTTGTAGTCTCGATAGATTGAATAAGCATAGCAGATGACGAAGCAAGTGGATAGCGTCTATACATGTTCCGGTCCAACCTTTAGTTTAGCGGCAACGTTCACGACAGTTTGGAAGTCTCTTATAAGGAATGAAAGCAGAAAAGCAGCTGCGTGGGTCGGTGGCAAAGAATGCGACAAGATTGGCAGAAATCGTGAAATATAGTGATTCTGAGAGCAGAGGAGTAAGGAATTGTTCAAGTTTACCATGAGGGAATGCTTTAGACGTGCTGTGGCATCTGGAGGAGAGTTTAGACGTTGCAATTGCATAAATAGGTAGCCACATTGAGCTACTTGATCGAATTCCCAACGTAGATGTCTCTTGTTAACGATACAGTCTATACAACTGCGTTAGAACTCCTCTAGGTGTGGCAAACAATGAATACAAGCTTCGAGCCGGTATTACTCCCTAACTTGGTCGTTCTTTCACCCAACTGAGGCTCTTATGGATTCATAGGTTCAGCCTTTTTGGGAATCTTGGAAACTTTTTCTTCACAAAGTTGCCCATAGTTATGTGTTTCATATAACGACTTCATGTATCGATAAAAGTTTTGCAATTAAATCAGTTGTACAGTCGTACGCAACAAGCAACGCTTAACACAAGAGATGCATAAATAGTGATATCGCACATGTAATGCAAGCTGACTCAGAAGTACCCGCTATTTCTATGGAGTTTTTTCTTAAATTACCTGAAAATGCTGCTGAGAGCTGTCAAAATGACTAATCTGGTCATAGTCATGATGTAGTACTCGTTTAATATCACCCATACCTTTGACAAGCACTCGTTCGACTTGGCGAAGATTTGCTGTTTTCTGGGCCTACAAGTATCCAAATAGTCGTGAATTGAATTAAAGGTTCTTGTTACAGTTATCGGAGTTTATGAAAATAGAATAATGGTTAATCAGTTTCAGTTCCACACTAAAAAATCTATTCACTTCAGCCAGGGTTATATGGTATGGTGAGCCCATGAGGAGTCATGTTTCGTTTTAGGCGCATACAGCCCTTTCATGTACATTCAAGCTTATTACCATGGAAGATTTTTCACCGGGTTCTACGAGCTACAATGGAACTGTCAATTCTCAAAGCCGTGGTGGTTGTCTGGAGAAGTGCTTTGAAGACTTCCCAGAGTGCTTCGTGGTCGGTGTGAAGGCTGTGGATTCCGGTGTGAGTTTCCCACTTTGTTATAAAAACAGTCGATTTTGTTAGCATGGAATTTCTTCTAGTGCTTTACTTACCTCGCTAACCCTTTTCAGTTGAGCTATTCGTCTGCATAGTTGTGTTTGTTTGCGGATTCATATCCCAGTCTTACACGCAAGCCTACCACCCTTAAATTCAGAGAGGGAAAGATCAAACTTCGAAAAAAGGAGATGATATGTTCGAACTTGCACTGAAGTTATAGTGACCGATAACTTACACATCGGTTCTACTGGAACGAGATCGATCGATAACGGTCCTTATACAGCTTATTTCGTTAATGGCATACTTAAATAGAAATAGGCATCTACTATAGTATAATTCCTATTCATTCTTGTCTTTGATTCAAACAATACCTTTACCCATTCCCTTTTCCACTAACCCCAAACCGCTGGTGAGCCACAGCGGAAGGTGGAGACGGTAGTTCGTCTGGTGAAGAGGCGAAACGAACCATCTTTGGTTTGTGTGGTTAATTGCCCTTCTGATGCATTTGCTTATTGCAGTTTTTATACTCCACTGACTTTAATTTGTTACACTTAACTTATGTTGTGCACTTGACTTCTCATGTTTAACTGATCATAAACCCTTCAGAAGTGGTGGTCCGAGTTCAGAGGTCATTGAAGAAGTATATTGGAAAGTCAGGAAACGAAAGAACTTATCAGAAAAGACATTACTAGCCATCGGCCAAAGCTATTTTAAATCTAATTGAAGGCCGTCATAACTCTATTTCCTGGTCGAAAACACATCAGTGTTAGGCTGGCGTTCTGGCCTTGTCCCAAAAATAGTGTTAAACCTAGACCAGTCGCTCTGGCACTACCTTGTATTAAATGTTCACAATTTTGTGTCAAATGAATTTATAAATCTATTTTTTCACTAGGGTACGCGATGAAAAGTACAACTCATTTAAACGACACTTTGAAGAATTTGAACAATTTGACTTTCAGTATCAATGCAACATCTACTACTTACGAAAGTCTCCCATCAATTTCAAATGGACTTCCGATCCTTCCATCACTCTTTACAAGTTGGAGAGAGACGAAGTTGATGTCAAGTGCCCATTTGCGGTGGACGTACTCAAATGAGGCCTGGTCAAACGACAGTGGTGCTGAGTGCTTTAATGCTTTTAGTTTATTTTTTTACTGTAGACGATCGCTATGCTTGGGTTTCGGTGTTGCTTCGCTTTGCTTGGGTTATGGTGTCCCCTGTTCCTTTTAAAAATTCAATAAATGAGTCACGAAAGGTTATGTATAAATCTTAGTGTACGATATTTTTTCCATCACGTACAAAGCAGCTGTAAACAATTTATTGCTTGCGATTCTGCAGGGCCATTGGGTCAAACCTACTTAAACAAAACTCAATTTTAAATAAGTTGATGTAAGAAACATTTCAGAATTCACCGTCACATCGTTGTAAAACTAACAGAGCAAGTAGTATTTGTGACAAAACCTCACTTGTTGGCACAGTATCTGTTGCCAGCCTCCTAGCTGTCCCCAGCATTCCTAAAAGCGAGCCGTTTTGGAAGGTAACCCTTTGTTTGGGGTTTGAACAAGTCGACGAAATTCTTGATAAGGTTCATTGGGTTGAAGCCGCTTATGACGAAGAGCGCCCCTTTTCACAGGGACAAAGACACTGAAGACAGGTTCGAATATACCTGCAAGCGGGTGTTGCAGAATCAGTCTAACTATAAGTTCTGTCGCACTTTCGTCAAGTGATGAGCAAGAAAACAACATGACATACGTAATCCTCTACAGTGTTCCTTGGGTTTCAACGGAAGTTATTTGCATGATAGAAAGTTCATCAAATTTAGGTTATGCGTTCGAAAATGTCTTTCAGAGATGGCGATTTAGAAGCGGAACCACAACTAGTGGAATTCGAACTGGTGAATAAGCTTTCTTTTCACCATTTTCTTTACCACTTACACCATAGATACTCTTCTAGTCCTCACGTTCTTGATGGTTTTCAGTCTGCATTATGTAGGGGAGCAGAATTTCCGACAAATATAAAGCACCACGAGGCCAACCATTCAGCTGGGGATTCATTATCTATAGGAGACTCCAAAACTCTAAGCGTAAAGCGTTCCAAACGTAAAGCCCAACATGAAAAAGAACATAGAAAAAACCAACTTTATGCCTGAAAAAAACAAAAATAAGGCGAAAAAGAGGGTAAACGATTTTTATAAACTGATAAACTTCTAGAATAGTAATATGGGAAAAAATTATTCTATAAATAGTGGCAATCTTCACCCCTCTGCTTACTTTTGAGAATTACAACGAATACAGTACACACTTTGTGAAAGTAAATCCATTTTTCATAGCGAATTATACTGCGCTTTCACCGTAGAAGCTACCCTCTGACCTCAATCGCAACCGTTCATGTTGAAACTTTCACCGTGGTCACCCAACTCATCTCACAGAGCAATTTCAACTCTGCAGAAGATGCTAGCAGACCTTGCGGCTTTGGGCTCTCCTTTTCCTTTTCTGTTGTCTTAGATGTAAAGAAATGCACAAGCTTTCAATTTGGGCTTTCAAACCTCTAAGGAAGTGGCGAGGCAAAAGCGGTCGTTACCAAACTTATTATCAATCTAGGGATCAAGATGTATAGCTGTCAGACCGCTTATCCCTCCATGACTAGTGGCATGAAAGGGAAGAGGGATACAAGAAACCCTCCGATTGATAGGATGTAGAGCTCCAAACAAAACCTACCCACACCTGAAACTTCAGGCACAATCCCTTCCAGTACCGTTCGAACTGAGCCAACGAACTGCCACTCAGGTACAGTCTGTCGCGGGTGTTTCTCTGATTTCAAACGGTCAAGCATGGTGCAGAAGTCGTAGGTTCACCGAAGTGATTACTGTCTTCGAATTCCTGCAAAAATTGTCGAATATTATTCTCAACATCCAGGATGAATGGCTTTTCACCGGAATTTCATCTCGCCACTTTTGTGGTTTCTTTTTTTTCCTTCGGATATGTCATCATAATGAAATGTTAATGCACTATGTAAAAAAAAGAAAGCACTTCGAGAAGAAAGTTGTTTTGACCTTGACATCAGAGTCAAAGTAAGTGCACATGAGGTAAGATAAAGGTAGCGGATAAACGTAACAATCAGATAGCTTGAAGCTTGAAGCGATGAAGAGTTCCGTTCTAGGCGCATCCAGGCCTTTTCTGCACATTTAAGCTAACAACCTTTGGGAATGTGGCATGGGCTTATTTCAACGAATATCATAATACCTACACTCGAAGTTATGGCGATTGTTTGAAGATGTGCTCCGACGAGTTCCCCGAGTGCGCCATGGTTGAGTTTTGAGTTATCGATTACATACCTACCAGCACCACTGATCCGATCGACTCCGTTCATTCGATATCATTCCATACAGCAAATTGTCTACTTGCCCTGTTATGTTTAAAATTCGAAAACCTATTAGAAGAAGTCGCTACCGATTATCTGAATTATACAGCTGTCTCATGGCATTTATACGCTCACTTTTGTGTTCGAGAGGGCATCATGTGTCGGGCAGGAACGATGACTTTATCAAAAAAAAAAAAAGCAAGGCCACACCTAGGCTGTTCAATTTCACAATTCCTTTATATGACCTGTTTGCAACTTTCTACTTTGACTACGTTTTCTAGATAAAATTTTTTATTTACTTGTATCCAGAGCAGTACAGTGAAGCGAAGTGAGTCAGACTCAGAAACAGCATCTTCGGAGGGAGGAATGATCAAAAGACCAAAGGAGTTATATTTTATAATCCTTTCCAAGAAGTGGATACAGCAAAGGTTCAAAGCGGATAATTGATCGTGCTAGGTGCTATTAAAGAGGGCATAAATAAAGATAGAATGAAAAAGATGATACATAATCAAGGGATAAGAAGTCAGAATGAATCAGTACTTTATGATTTCACCGCCATGCTTATATGCGGCTGCAAGAGTGCTTCTCAAAACATCATGTGTGATGATATGGCAGATAACGCATTGTTCAATGTGAATCGAATACAGTATATGTGAAGCTCAAGCTGGGAAATTTCCATTAACGTTTCAGAGAACCGACTACAGTGTAAAGTATCAAAGGAGGTAAACACTGAAGCCTTAACGTACTCATCAAGTGACTACACTGACTTCCTTTGGTGACGCTTGAGCTATCTTCCCATAGCGCAAGGTCCGGAAGAACCACTTCCACTCGCTAAGAGCAACTAGACTGTGGAGCGTATACAAAGAATATGAGATACCATTGTTGTTAACAAACGACTAAAATCTTCATCAGTTGGTCGTTGAAGCGTACGACACTCACAGTTGAGCCCGCGAACTTTCGAAACAATAAGTCCGACATCGTTGGTGGTTCTGGAGCTGTCGCAATGAATGGCTCTGACGCCCCAGTCAATGTCAGTCGAAGACGCTCGGCCCTTCGATGCTCCTTGCATAGGCGATCCATACTTTTCACACCCACCTGGCTTCGCGAGTGAGAGTTGGCTCTCGTGGAAGTCGTTACAAAGATCCGTGAAGCGATATGTGACAAGGGTATTCTTGATCGGCCTCACGAAGGCTTATAATCTGTATTCGAGAGTCCGTGCTTAGCCTGAGCGAGCAGTTCCCTACGGCACCCCAACACCACTGATTAACTCCTGGAATAGAAGGGTGAGAAACAAGTATTCGAAAAATTCCTTGAATTTAGGTTTTATAGCCGATTCAGGAAAGGACTTGATTACTTTTCCGGTTTTCCTTGCATGCAATCTCATGCCCTTGCGTTTGCCCTAAACTAGGCTTTCAATCATACCGAGGCAAAAATCAAACTCGTAACAATTTTTCATGGCGAGGTAAATTGCCTATTGAACGCATCCATAGAGACTGGCCACTCCTGCAAATCATAACTATTCGTCTTGAGGCTTTCTACAAGGAAACCTTCCTCCACTTCAGACTTCTCTACTGTACAGAAGACGTTGAGCAAACCCTGCAACTTTGTGCTCATAGTTGCGCTCAACTATAAGAATGTACGCAAGCTTGTTGCAATGGCTTTTGCACCTCTCAAGGAGTGGTGAGGCAAGTGGGGTCGCTACCAAACGTTTTTGAAGTATAGTGTGATAGCTGCTTGCTTGTGAACTAAGCTACCCTTCCCCACCCTACATACTGGTATCAGAAGGAGATGGGATAGAACGCAAGACCAGGAATATAAATAGGATGTAGAACTCCAAACAGAACACACTCACTCCAGAAACTTTGGGTACAACTTCTTCTGGTACCTTTCGAAGTGATCGCGAGAACTGCCTCGCGGGTACAGTCTTTGAAGAGTGATCCTGTTCAATTCCCTTTCTCTTCTTTCTCATTAGAATCGTTACGAATGCTCCTTACTCTTATTTGATTCTAAGTTGTTTAGCATGGTGCAGCAATAATATTTTTACCGATATGATCGCTGTATCCCGGAGCCCGCTAGAACATATCCATGAATACCCATAATGTTTAGGAGACATGCTTCCTCATCGAGTCTTCGTCTCACCACTTTTGTGGTTTCTTGTTTACTTTCAGGTACGTCACTAAAATGAAATATCACAGCACAAAGTAAACAAAAGAAAGCTTACTATTAGTGATGTAATAGTTGTTTTTTTCCAAAATGCAAACAAAGAAAAAAATATCCTCGAAAGTACCGTGAGGCAATCTCGACTTTTCTTCTGCCTCAAAATAGGAACATTAGTATAAATAAGTATTCCTACACGCATTCCATAACCCCTCAAGTAAAGATTTTTTTTACGGAAAAGTAAATCAAACGCAATTTCCGCCGAAAAAATGTCATGAGTTAGTAGTCAGTTTGAACTACAGGAAGTTGTAAATCTACTGAACACTGAAAATTTTGCCCTAAAATAAGAAGCTTTCAATATCATTGAAACATTCACCCCTCTAAACCCAAATCATGATAATTTCGTTGTTAAAGTGACCGGAATTTCCACAAGTAGAATAACGATTTGATACATCATATAAGCTTTGGGATAACTGTTTCTTTGTCGAAGCACTGAATTCAAGTGACGAAGTTTCGTCTCCTCTCCTTTCTTGCAGTAGAGAAAGACGACCCTCGGCATGAATTGCGAAAATGTCTGTTA